GGAAGAGAGGACCACTGTTCTGCTCCTCCCGGGGGAGGCAGAAGTGCAATTGTTCTTTCACCTATGCTTTTGCAGCGTTTCTATCTAAAGAATGAGCACTCTGACTACAGGTAAAGCTGAGGATAACAACGTACCAACTGCTTTAGATGCAGCAAGAACATGCCTCTGTATGCTTAAACTATGCCTGAAGGGAGGTAAACGCCTAGGGCTGGGGGGAGGCCCAAAACGGCAGGGGCTGTGGCTGGTTGACAGTCCCGTCCAGAGGTCAGGCAGCGAGGAAAGGAAGGAGCCTCTGTGCAAAGGAAGGAGCCTACACATGCATTGGCAACGCCGGGGGGAATAGCCACTTTCTAACACGGAGCCAGCCGGTTCAGGAGGCAAGCCATACAGCACGATGCTGGAGCTCGGGGAGGAAAGAGACCTCTTAAAAAATAATGGCACAGGGCAAGGACACAGAGAAAGGATGAAGTCCCCTCCTGCCCACACATCCCCTTTCCTCCCGCTGTCACGGAACCGAGCAGAAGGGTGAATGATCTCCAGATCTCAGAGTAAGGGCAAAAGAGACTTGGCTGAGGGGCAGCCTCTGATGTCACTTTGCTGCTGTCACCGTCCTATGGAGGGGATAGGAGGAGGTCACTCTGACATTATGGCAATAAAGAGAGAAAGGCTCCACCGTGCAGCACGGGACAAGCCGGAGGAGAGAAAACTCCCCATAACGCTATGGCAACTGCATAGGGGACTCACAACTTCCAAGTGATTATATAAACCAGCACGATCCAACTGGCAGCCAGCGGGGCCCGCTCTGCCCATGGGATGAGTCCATCTGGCCAGGCGCCTCTTCCTCGCAGGAGATGGGAAACAGCTGAAGCCTCCTCCTGTGCTGCGAACGACTGTGAACTCCCACCCTGCGGGGAGAGCCCGAGGCCTGCCTCCCCCTGTCCGTTGCATGGCCAGCCATTTAACATCTTCATGTCATGAGCAGGGGGATCCCAAACCGGGATTGAAGCCCCCACGACTGCAGGGACTGGCTTGCTCCATCCCAAGAACACAGAACAGTTTGACAGCACCCTCCCTGTCCTGGACCTCCTTGTACCACTCCAGGCAGCTCCTGGGAGCTTCTACAGGCCAGCTGCCCGCTACCCAGGTGCCCAGCAGCCTTCTTCTGGCTATTGATTTCTTTCAACACTCAGGTTGAGTGTGCTTTTCTGCAGTGGTTCCCTCCCATGCTTTCTACACAACTATTCTGCATGATCCCATACCTCAGGGCTGGGTGAAGCTTCCTCATGCTTAGGAAGGCCTCATTTCTCCACCTTGCACATAAGAACTTCAATCTATCCAGCCTGCACTAAGACTTGAGAACTCCTGCAAGGTCACCAATTTAACGTGGCTCCACAGAGCAAACTGATTTACACCATAAGAGGGTCCAGCAGTGCCCATAAGCAGGGTTCAGATCATCATGTGGTACTTGCACAGGACATAGCTGCTGCTGCACCCAGACTGAGGCAGGTAAGAGACAGCAAGGTTTATCCTAATGGGCGAAAGGAACGACATAGTTTTGCACTGGCTGAGAATCAGGCCCAAATTCCACCTTGTAGTTCCTGAAAACTGAAACAATCAGTTCCTAAATGTGGCACCAGAACCAGAGGACAGCATCTTCAGCATTTTAATATTTTATTAAAACCTGCTTGAACTCTGGGTTTCCCATAAGGCAACATCATTACTAATGATATTTACGCTCCACACAAATATAATGTCGTTCCGTAAATGAGATACAGCTGGAAACACTGCAGTCACTCAGTCTTGATTGAAACGCATGAGAACAGAACAAAGGAGCTAACATGCATTCTGATCTTGAGGTCTGTAGATGCAGGTGGTGAAGACAGGAGATTATTTCTGAACCTGGAAGAAGGTTCCTCAAGTTTCCTCTCTCCAGATTTTTTAACCAGGCTAATTTGGGTATTTAGCCACATGCTCATGGCTTTTCTAGAGGCAGAAACCCAACCAGGGAGGTGACAAGCTGGACAGAATTTCCTAAGAGAAAGATTTTGCAGTCTGACAAATCTCATGGCCAAGCACAAGCCAGGACGAGACCCTGCTCATTTGCTCCAACGGGCACTTGGCTCACCGACAGTATCATGAAGAAAGAGGGTGTCTGTTGATAATTTGACTAGATCGGCCTGCAAATCAGAGAGGACTTCCCTGTCCACCCTTGCCATGTATGCCTCTGACCATGCCTGCTGGATCTCTGTCTGCCTCGCAAGACTGTGTGATGCCCTCAGAGGTGGACACACCAGTCGGCCTTAACTACAGACGTCAGCAAGGATTCAAGAGGGACTACACAGTAAGAAAGTGCCTTCCTGATGGAGTTAAAGTCTCCCAGGTTTCTGACAATTTTATACAACTCTGAGACTGCACACCATGTCATAAAAAACATAACAGGAAGCTGACAGAGCCAGTGAGGTGCATACATACACTTCTATTTCACATGTATTAAAATATGAAGTCTTAAAATCAAACAGGAAGACCCAGTTTCAGTTCAGTTCTGCTCAGGACAAGTCCTTTTAAACTTCATTCAATCAATTTGCCAGGGCCCTTTCTGGTTCCTTTTATGGTATATATGAACCTCTCTTCATAACAGTCACCTTCTAGTGACTTTTTAATATTTATTTTCTGGCTGAAACCCAGAAATTTCTTAAATAACCCATTCTTCTGTGTGTACATAACACGATCGGTAGCAAAATCAGTGTATGAAGTGATTCTCAGGAACTAATAGTCAAAATACTGGGAGAGTATCAAGTGTAGTTTAGCCACGTATCTGGCATCTAAACCCCAAAGAAATTACGAGCATGTCCTTGGGAGGCAACACAGATTTTGGCAACTCTTACTGAGTTTTAAACATTTGAAAGTAATTGCTAAAGCACAAAGAAACTGGCATTGATGAAAATTCTCCCCAGGTTTGAGAGCAGTATCAGCCTCTGCTCAACAGCTATTGAAAAGTAAATGAGTCTCAGCCTAACGTACACTACATAGATGTCAGTGTCATTCCAAGCCACTAATACACACAAACACATCCGTGCATTGGCATTTACATTACTCAACTGCGTATCTGTTTCTCTGAAGATGAAGAAATTTCATACCCAATTAACTTTCTTTAAAACTATACATAAACAGGAAGACAACTTATTTGAACGGGACAACTTTTTCTGATTAGTTTATAAGATATATTTTTTTATATGACAAATTTTCCTAGGCCTGGTGCGGGATTGAAATGATCTAATGACGCCGGCTCATCTCGCCTACTAGTTCCTGTCTCTATAGTGAAGCTGTTACGTCTTGGTACTTAGGCAAAAATACACCAATTTTGCCGTGGTCATTAACTCCAAGGTTTTCACTGAGCCACACGGACTTTAAGGTTGATCTTGAGTTGCTGCAGCTCCAAATTCCACTCTTCCTGGTACGAACCAGTATTTCATTTTATTTTAATTTAGGCTTATGAGAGTGGCTGGGATGGAATGGAGGAAACACAGAACTTATTCCTGGCTCTTACACTGGCCTCAGGTAAGTGGTGTGTGACCTCAGGTAAGCCATTTTGCCTCTCTGTGTATTCATTTCTCCAGCTGTAAAAATGAGAAAAAAAAAACCCTCAGCTTCTTTGTGTAAGCAGTTTGAAACTTTGGTATGAAAAAAACAGATATAGAACTAGAGTGGTGCTTACAACCCCTTCAAGATTAAGCAGAGATAAGATTTAGAGTGATGGATGAATTTGTGGCCGAGCCCTAAAGCAGGGGCTGAGGAATGAGATCAGTCACAAAATCTGTTTGGGATGATGCCCTGACCAGCTGGGAGTCATAAATGGCTTTTGGCATTGACTTCAAGAACATCAGGATTTCACCTTCTATGCCACAGTGCCTCATCTGTAAAACAGAAATAACAACTTCTATCTCCTGCCTTTTGATTCCCACCCCCACAGTATAGATTTTGTGTTCTTCAGGCACAGATTGTCTCTTACATAAAATGTTAAACGCCGCTGTGGTAGGTACCTGGAGGAATTACTGAAATGCAGTGAAATAATGGTATAGTGACAGCACTAGCAGTAAGAGCAAGAAGGGTGAGAGAGCAGGAGACAGAAGTTGTTTGCAAATCAGCGCTGAGCCCTGGGAAGGAGCAGTCATCTGTGGAGTGCATGCTGTGGACACAGCAATTTTGGTAATGTATTTGTCCGTACTGTATGGGCCAAAATCTGTTCTCTGCTGCCTGTGAGGAACTTCCTTTGCCTTCAGTGGGAACCGATCCCGCGCAGCTGAGACGGGATTTGTTTCGCTTTGTGTAATGTCTTGTGCATAAACAAAAGCGGGAGGAAGAGACCTCTTAGATAATCATCACAAAAATGATCTTGACATTTTTAACACTGATGCCAAGAATAAAACTGATAAAAACCTTAGAGCTGATCTCTTCCTCATTATTGGATTTCCGCCAGATTAAATTGGGAAATTTGGTTTGTTTGCTTGCGTGCAAGGGTGTCCCCTGCACAAGGTCGCTATTCAATGTACACAAGAAAGCGACGGCAGAGGCATTGCCGAGTTCTTTCCGGCTCACTAAGCCTTGCGCCTGCAAATCTGTTCGCTGTGCACTGGCTGCACTGGCTCTGTGTAGCGGCTGTGACAGCCCCATGGACAGATACTGGAATCAGAAACCAAAGACATGTGCTTGGCACCTTACCTTTAATGATAGCTTTGTGACCTTGGACAAACCAATTACTCTATAATGCAATGTCAAGATGTATAAAACAGTGGAAAACTACTCAGCCTTTGAACACCTGGAGATCTAGGACTGAAAAGCACTGTATGAAGGAGAGCAAGCACTGATTTTTACCTAACCATACTCCCAGTCCCTTCTTCCCAGCTGAGTATCATTTGCACATCTTCCCAGGGCTCCATCACGCTTTAGAGAAGACATCTGAAATGTGAGGATTAGGAACACGTGCACTGCTGCCCCTCCTTCTGGTTCACCTACTTCTGTGCAACCCCCCTGGATCAGCAACAAAACTGGTAGTCCTTGCGGGACAGGGCAACGGGAGGCAGCCACTACGGACTGCAAGTGCTTGCAAACATGACCCCACTAAAACAACTGAACTACTGCCAGGAATTAAAGGTAGTTAGCAGTCCCTTGCTTACTGCAAATATTTTGCAGTCAGTAAAGTACAGCCTATTTCACTCCTCCACCCTGGAAAAATCTTGCTGTTCCTGAAGCAAGGGCAATGGAATAGTTACCGACTGCTGCTTCTAAAGCTTCAAGACTCCCTTTGGAGATCCCCTTCCTCCAGCTTCCAAAGGATCATGACCAACAGTCTGAGAATTACTGAATAAAGCGGCCACTTAAGCTGACAACAGATGTCCAGTGCGTGCTCAAACACACCAACGCTCTTCTTGTCCTAACGAGTGAATCACAACAAGCAGCCACCTCATAAAGAGTTAAAATGAAGAGTTCTGCTAATACTTAAGCGTTACAAATCTTTTCAGTTGAAATAAATTATTCAAGAGATGTCGTCCCCCTATCAGCACCATCTGAGCTACATTTTTAATAGTTCTGTGCGCTAAGCGCTTTCTGTCATAATATCAGTGGTACCAAGCCTGCAAGACGAAGAAGGGGGAAATGCATGCATGCGATTATACATGAAAGACAAAGCTGCTTCCCCTTAATTGCTGTGAAACATGTGCTGCCCAAGGCAGAGCAGAGATCAGTGGTGTCAATTATGTTACAGAGGAGTAAAACAAACAGCAATGACGCACTGACTTCGGAATCACTATCAGAATCACTATCCGGACTGTAGATAATTCACCTACCACCTTCGATTGTTTTAGGTCTCATTTACTACGAATGAATCTGCCCAGTGACTCCCTTAAATTTTTCCAGTCATAAGCTGGAAATAAGGATCCACCCTCAAGATTGCATGGATATATAACTAAACAAGGAAGGGTCTCCTGCTCTATGACTCTAAGAATAATAATAAAAGAAGGAAGTACTTCTCTTGGCAGAAGTCGGCCCCAGGACGTTAAAACAACCACCTATCTGCTCGTTAATCCATGTATTCATTTGTTTGTCCAAATGACATACCACATGCAGAAAACAAACATAACCAAACACGTTTATAAGCAACTAGAGGGAAATGAATCTGAGCTTAACACGTAGAAGAAACTTGAATCAGTTCAGGGTCTGCTATGTCCAAATTGCCCGTGAGGCTACAGTAAGGGCAAAGACTATAACGATACTCTGGGACAATAACAAAAGTCTTGCTCATGCTCATAAATACAGTCTACTTTGAGACATTTACACTACAAGGGGATGACACTGCTCCTTCCTCACGGCTCAAACCATGTTATGTGGTCAAACCTCTCTCCCCTCTCAATGGGGGTGGAGAACAAGAATAAAGGATCCCTGAAAGAGACAACCCCCAATCTTCCTTCTTGCTCTGCAGAGCCACTGCACATTTCAGTCATGTCCACTGCTCAAACCCTTCTCCCTCTGGTCCTCGGCTCTGTCCCAGAACATGGAGGAGAGAAGAGGTCGAGGTGTTCCACAGCGAAGCTGTTTAGGGCAAGATAACCCCTGTGAGAAGGCCTTCTTGTCTTAGCAGCCAAGGGAAACCGGCTGTTGTAAAGTCACCTTGGATTTCTGCTCCTCTTGCAGGAAAACTTTGTAGGATTTTGCCTACCGTGTTTTCTGTCTACAGCTTCATCTAGTTCATGGTTTAACTGAGTGAGGAGGAAACATAATGATGAGAAACTCGCAGGCTCTTTTGCAACCCGAAAGGAAGTCAAAGGATAGAAAAGGGATGGGGGCATGAGAGATCCTCAGCCTTGGTCAAATAGCTTCAGCGTCAGACTTAAGGCAAAGGGCACATGAAAACCCCAGTTCTGAGGAGTAAAAAACACCGATGTCTTCCCTTGCCTCACAGACGGGAACAGCTGCCTGCATAAGGGTAGTGGCAGCCCAGTAGGTCTGGCAGCTCCCAGTAGGAGCTTTGCCAACTGATAGCTCTCCTCAGAAAGGCAAAAAAGTAAGAGAGACTAAAAAGTGAGAGACGGCTCAGGCCAATAGAGCAGCATATGGAAAATGGAAGGAAGTACCAAGATTTGGCAAGTTATGGAGAAAATACAGAATCTTGCTTCTCTCTAGGCAGCACTCTCAGAGGTACTGATGAGCATCAGGCATGAAAGAGGGCTCTGAATTGCTTGCTAACACACTGATCATTCACCCAAGTATCTTGAAAGAAACCTGCAAAGCAAAAAAATGCTGCGGTCAGTTAAGAGTGGACTTGATGATTAAATGGTTAGCAAAGAAAACTCATACATGACCAGGCTGGAATGAAAAAAATTCAATTGCAAGTATGCTAAAGTATTGCCTGCAGAAGTCAAGTCCCCTAGGAAGCGGCAGATTGCATATTTGCCAACAGTGATTTCTGGGACTTAAGCATGTATCCAAAAGGGAACACAGTGACTCCACCAAACCGAGGGAGTGCAGTAAGCGCACCAAAGCCTGAATATACGATTGAACTAAAAGCTCAGAGGTAAGAATGCTGTCTACAAAATAGAAAAGAGAGTAGCAGTGCTCTGAGATAAAGCCCAAACTCCATCACTTTTGTCAAGACTTTTGATTTATGCCTCTTTCCTCACCCATAAAAACGGCTAACTCCACTCCTATGGTAGATGAGTTTAATCCACCACTGTTTCATATCTCATTTGCTGTTAATGTACCGTTTCCTAAATTTAGACGCAAAGAGGACTGGTTGGCCCTGTGGTCAGGGACAGCATACTTCATAAAGGATGATCAGCATCCTGAAAAGATGCCTTCCAACAGCAATCAATCATCTGAACTGGAGCAGAGAGGATACAATTGTAGGCTGAAAGTCAAGCTATTGTGTGGATACACCTACAGGGGAACATTTGGTGAAATAAGGGTAATGAGGAAAACAGGAAGCCTGAGCCTGTTTACCCAAGGACAGCGATTATAATAGTGCCTATCTTTATAACATACAATGGGCATTCATACAAGATCGTCACGTGCCATGAGAAGGAACATCTGGACAAATATCTTTGTCTGGATACCTAGGAGGGTGAGGAATCTTCACCATGTAAAGTGTCACACCCCCTGGGAGGTGAGCAGTACCTGCGGCACATGAAAGGGAGCAGAGCGAGGGCAGACTGGTCAGTGAGAATGGGAGTGTGATGGGAGACCCAGCTGCTATTTTTGGCACGAGTGTTGCTGGAGGTATCTGGGAGGTCACTTCCCCTCTCTATGCCTCCTGCTCTCCCAGTGGAAAAACAGTTTGTAATCCGACATTCAAGAAATAAACATCCATCTTTTTCAGAAGTACTGAGTCAGTATTGAGACCTAACATGAAGAATTCTGTATAGGATTGGAATTTTACTAGGAATTATTAATACCATGATTATTCTTAATAAGAACTCATGAAAGACGCATGCTCATTAAACACCAACAGCAGGGGTTGTGCTCTTTTAAATTTTTATGAGTTTTGCCAAGGATAAAACTAGACATAAGCCACTGCAGTACTGATATGCTTGGGAAAAGTACATTTCTGACCTCACGTGAGAGAGAA